ATCATACAATACAACATCTTTTTTTCGTAGTTGAAATCATGAGTCATTTGAAGCAGGTGCGAGATCGTGGATACGCACTGCTGAGGAGTCCCATAATAGGACCACCAGGTTTTCCATGGTGGTCAACTTCAATTGACTCATGATTTCAACTATGAAAATATTGAAATATCCACAAAAACCCCTTCTGAAATACAACATCCGTCTAAAGTATTTTAATTATATATAACAATTAGAATTATTCTCAATATGTTTTGTTGATATTCGTTTTTTTCGGTCGTTGGGTTGGAGAATTCTAGTCGACGGCCTATGCTCCATTGGAGGGTAACAGGCGTCAGTAAGTAAGTAAGATTGGCCTCGTTTGGAATACCATCAAAAATCAAAGAGCAATAGATAACTGTTTTATCCTAGTATGAAACTTTTAAGTAGTGCTCACTTCTGATTCTGACAATGGTCGAAACTATGACATTCAGTTTTCTGGGGAAGTACTTGACTATTGTAACCACTGGGTTGATGTCCATTAGTAGAGTTTCAACTCCGATTATTTCAAGAGGAACAGTCATACATTGCTATTGATGACAGCTATTTCATATGTCTGAATTGGATTATTTTGCTTTACACATTACTGGTAACTGTCCATCTTTCCATTGATATGTGAATTATGAAAAAAGACACAATTGTAAGATGGTTTTATTTTTTTTTTAAGTTTATTAATAATATATAGTTGAAATCATAAGTCAATTGAACCTAGACCACCACTGAAAACTTGGAAGCATTGGACGGCCGTTTAGTCCTATTGTGGGACTCCCAGCAGTGCGCATCCACGAACTCGCCACGCGAGATACGAACCCAGGACCTATCAGTCCCGTTGCTCGAGCACCTAACCGATAGATCACTGATTAATTATATTTTCCATTACAACTGGGCAATAGTAAAAAACCCACATTGCACAAATAGATTGGTAATATTTAAAGGTAATAAGGAAAGAAAAGAAAATATAATCAAGAAATGAAGCGTGTCATCTCTAGGACTTCAACTGTTGAGTCTTCGTGAACTGAAAGATATCAGTCCTACATAATTATCTTTCACATTCTAGTGGCATATTATAAACTGATCATCTCTCTGTCCCAGAATTGAAAATCAGTATACGAAGTGAATACCACTAGGATTGAATTCGTAATGCTTTTTCAGACCATTTGACTTGATATCTCAAAGTGGTGATACCAATTAAATTGTCTTTACTACCTTTGAATACACATTACTGGGTTTCAGTAGTACTGTAGTGAAAAAAACATTAGTTGAGGACAATCGAATTTATTTAAGCACTAATTACAGACTATCTCACTAAATTCTGATAACCATACAATGAACAGTTAAGATTGCAAATTAACAATCAATTGTCTCAATCTTCACTGTTCCTTCTGTAAATATCAATTCATCTTATCTGATTTCGTCGTTTATGCATTTTCCTACCAATTGTGCTTCATTCCTGTTCGTTCCTTGTCGATATTCTGCCAAAACACGTTCCATGCCTGACCATCACCATATACTACTGATGTGGATATTATGTAGACTACACCATAGTACTAATATATTATATTTAGTGAATGCAAGCAATCCTTTAAAGATGTCGATAACTAATATATATACATCAAGTCTATTTTATAGTTGATCATTTCAATTGCACACTACGTTTAGTTTTGGATTTAGTGTATATAGTATTCGTATGTTGGTGGTAATAATGAGGATATTCGTAATGTACTATGTTTTCATAATTAATAAACCATTCTGTTGTTGTTAACCTGGTTATTATTAATTATAGATAATTGGAATGAATAATTAATGTTAGTTTAGGTCAAATTTTTGCTGACCTTTAAAAAGTCAATACATGTATGGTATATATTGAATTTAGTTGGATCATAGGAAAACAATCAAATGAGAGTAATCGAATTGTAATTATTTATTTCATTATATTTGACTGAATTCTGATGAATTTTTCAATTCGGGTATATTGATTTCATAATTATTCTTAAAATGATGTCATTTATACTCATCTACATGGATGATACCACTCTAAGCCCCCAAATGCCCTGGTACGACCGAGAGTGGGGAGAGTTCGCTCTCCTACTCGAAATGGTCTCATATGGCCACGTGTATACAGCCGTTACCAGGGAAATCCTACTCACTGCCTTCTCGTGACATAACTGTTGTTTACGAAATTGAGAGGACGAAAAGCGAATGTCCTGCGCTTTAACCGGGTTGGTGGACACGGAAAGTTCACATAGAGGAGTTAGAAAACCCTGATTCCGAACCCATGGTGCACACGGGCTCTAGTTTCCTGAAGGAACAAATGCTGTATGAATCAATCGTCGGTGAACGGCTAATGTGGGGCTGCATCTCCTTAAGATGCTCTACTGTCTTGTGGATCAGATCTTTAGGCGAAAGGCTCCGGGTAAGAAACCCACCTGCTTCATTTTGGGTATCAGGGCAGTATTATAGCCCCCACACAAATCAACTGAGATTTATTTGGCGCATATGTATCTGGTGCCTCTTTGTACCAATATTTATGTGTTTAAATAAATAAATAGAATATCTGATGTACTGTTTCTAATATTATTGTAGGCTTTTATTTCCTAGTTTAATCTTAAAGCATTACGAAGTAGGTTTGTTAGCTTGTCGATGTACATTGTTTTTGTTGATCAGTTCATATGAGACAATTAAATAAGCCACTGTCCTCTGGCTATTAAACATAAACCTTGACTAATAAATATAGTAAATGTCTGTGTTTAAAACATGCAAAACACCCCTTCTATGTCATAAATTCAAATCTCGATTCATTTTACATTGAGTTAAGCGCTATTTATACAATAAAATTCACCAACACAGATTCTGTTTATCTTCTAGACTGATTCCATTAGTCAGTCATTCGATAGTCGTTCAGATTACGAACCAATCTGAGCTAGAGTATTATTGATAACCAAGGATGCTGAAGAGCTGTTTTGTTTTATTATGAAGCTCCTCAATGGTGTACATCTATAACCACACTGGATACCGAACCCCTTAATATTCAGATCTCACTGGAAGCACTTAAATTTCAGATATTTTAGTCAGCATCGAATGGATTTGATCTCCAAATAAAATTATTTTGTAATAATTTACAACCATCTAGTATTTTTAGTGATTTCTCGCGTCATAGTCTTCAAGAATTAACTATACGTTATAAAATGATTAATTACCATAATTTTGTTGTTGGAATGATTGTCCTTTGTTTAAACGTAACCATAACTCTTTCTAAACTAAGCATATAAGTAAATTCACTCGGTATTGTTTGTTTGAATCATCCTATTGTTGTTTAGAACTATAAATGACCAGTCTCTTATTGATATATGTACATCCTGTGCGGACTGCCTTGATATTGCCTTAAGTCACATGCTTTATGAGTAAGGATGAATGGTGGTATCCAGGTCGCGCATTTCATCCTATTTGGGACTCGTTAACCGCATATATTTGCACCCCAGAGTTGATGTTCACTTTGGGACTCGAACCCAGTACCATTCGCTTGAAACGCCATCGAGTTATCTACTTCAAGTCCCAGATTGAACATCAACTCTGAGATGCAGGTACATCCAGCTAACAAGTCCCAAATAGAACGAAACGCGCATCCTTGATTCCACTGCTAGCCATCATCCATCTTTGCATATTAAGCATAATAATTCTCAATTAGATTATATTAGTTTTTGTCTAATAAATTTAGTTATATTTGCTGTTGTTTATATTGTTATGAACTGTAAACTAACCTATCAATCTACTGTATTAAAATATTCATCTTTATAGTCAGTTGTCAGTTAGTTATGATGTTTGGTTCAATATTATTATCATAAGAGAAACTATTAATTTGATATTGGCACCTATTTATTCTGAGTTTATGATATTTATGTTTAGTCTAGCTATGTCACTCTTGAATATATATATTTATATTACTAAAACTGATGATCTAGGTGAAGTTAAACAGTAGATTAATCTGCCGTTCATCATCAAAAGTCTTCAACTATGGTTATCTGTTAATCGCCCATGTTTTCTACTCTTATACATTATAGTTCAAAGTTGTATCGTAATTGGGTTTCTTTTTGGCTTTTGTTGCTTACTTATGCTTAAATCACGATATGCTGCTAAGTTACTGAATCTAGTGTTCATATTGTAAGTTGGTCAATGGAATTTGATTATCACTATGTATAAAGGGTTATATCACACTACATACTACTCAATAATTAATCAGTCAATAAGTCACAACGTAGAACTTCGTACGTACATACTTACATAATTTCGAGTTGCCATACCACTATGTGCACAGAGATGAAGTTGTCCATTCAAATTCCATAGTGGTAGAAGTAGTAAGAGTATAAGCATTATGTGAAACATTAGAGTTTGAATATGTTATTGAAGGAGTATAATCCAGTGTAATAAATTTGGAGAGAGAAAAAAGAAAGTGACATGAATAATCAGAAAATCAGAATTTGGTAGAACATATAGAGTGGATGCACCTTCACCATTGCAAACGATTTTGAGCCATGTCATTCAAGGTCTCTAACCATCGATTGTTATCATCTCGCTGATCTTAATCAGGCAGCCTACACATACATACATACATACACATAATTAATATTGAAGGTCTGATATGATACAAGGTTTTTAATAACAACTTTAATTATAATACACTGAATGATGTAAGTTCACACCTCATTGAGATACTTTGATATTTTATTTCATTTCGAAGATATATTTTGCTGAACAGTCCCACTTATCAACAAACTTAAATTCACAGCCTTTTATCAACTATTTCAAACCACATTGCATCAGACATTTAGATTTAAAATGTAGATAATATATCTATCAGCCATGTCAATTTTTTATGTCTGTAGGTGGTATCAGTACGGAACTGGGACTTCAGATACTTATTTGTCTGTCTCTTTAACTTAATTCCCTCTTTCGTTTCTCTTTTCTAGCCACATGTTGTAGAAGCACATTCAATTCATGTGGCACTTCATAATGTAAGTCCTGAGAATGGTGATCAGCTATGTCGGATGACTCAAAGTGTTGCCGTCAGTAAAACAATAGCTACCACTACTACTACTACTATTCAAGTTAATGATACAAATGTTCAATCTAACGATTCATCTGTCAATTCAACAAATACATCCAATCATGATAACATTCCTAAATCAATTAGCATTGATGATTACACAAAAGCAGAGAAACATCGAAATGATCGTCAACATTTATCAATAGGTGATTATGATAATAATGGAGAAGAGGATGATTTAAACGATATTATACATTATACACCAGAACGTATATCACCAATGTCATTTGATCGTGGTACAGTGACTACAATTGAATCACATTTATCTAGTATAATAGCTCAAGATGAAATTGATGATTGTCGTGATAATAATAATAATAACAATAATCATCATAAAGAGTTTGATTATTCTTCATCAAAACAGATTATTACTGATTCAGAAAAATTTTCCAAATCTCCACCATATGCTTGTCTTGATGTTATACACAATGATAATCCAGATGAATGGGATTTAGGTGTAGCCGATCGTGATTTATTAGCCGCTGATGGTTTACTTTATTTAGATCGTAGTCATCCGGTAAGATAAATTCTTTATTATATTTAAATATATATTCTCAAATAAAAATAATATATAATTCTGTAGTACGACAGGTATATATATATGACTGTCTTTCTGAATCACACAAGAATATGTTGACTAGGTACCTGACTGACTTTTCCCGATAGCGTATCCCTTTCGTAATTTCTCACCTACTGTTTGATCTTAAAATGGCTATGAGGATGGACACATGATATGTTCATACTTGTCCATCGGTCATTGGATTCATTTCAAATCAAGTGGAAAATCCAACAGCAATATCCTCGAATGTTTATCATAGTTCACATTAGAGCTTATCTTGTATCATGCCATCTATCATGAATATTTCCAGATTAAATGTAATACGCGACTAGCGTAACCAATGACTGGAGACGCTGGGTGACATGGCTTAGAATCGATCACAATGGCTTAGGTGTACACACTTTATCTTTCCTTAAACCGTGAGATTAAAATTGCTTCATATCTGTCTTTCTTCCTGTACTATATTCTTATATACAACCTTTCTTTTATATATTACCACCACTAAATTAACTACTTCTATGAATTTGGTATTCGTCTTGTTGTGGTAATGAAGTGTGGTAACTTGAATTGATTCTTATATGTGCGTGGTCCTACGTTGTATCTGAATAACTAACTGAATCTGTATACATTTGTAGTATTCATTTTGTATGCCGTAGTTTTGTTATATCAGTATCAATGCTTATAAGTTTCGATATTAGCGGTTAAGAATGACACATATATGCGAATAATATTGTTTTTAATCAGATCTTATTAAACCAATAAAGACAGTTTACGGATCAGTCATAACAACGAAACCGATTTCATAATATGACATAATAAGTAAAAAGTACGTATTGAGAATGATTATCTAAGTTGTAAGATCATATTGTTTAAGCCTGAATTAGTAAATTCTCAGTCAGTCACAACGTAGAACTTCGTATGTATGTACGTACATAAGTTCGAGTTGCCATACCACATTAGCACAAAGATGCAGTTGTCGATTCAAATTCCATAGTGGTAGAAGTAGTAAGAGTATAAGCATTATGTGAAAGATTAGGGTTTGAAAATGTTATTCAGTAAATTCTCATAATATACAATCCTGACTATGGATCCCGGTTACTTGTTATCTGAAGTAAACTTTTAACCGAATTCTGTTGCGCCTCTGCTGTGTAGCTTTGATTATATTTCAATTTCACTTTCTCATACAATCGAATTCCTATATTTATTTAATCTACAAACCTATTTTCTTTTTGAATCGTTTCTTTTATGTTGTCATCAATACTGTTATTACTTATACAACTATAATATCTTTCCATGTTTGTATGATGTCGTGATCTAAACTGATGCACTTATGTTCTAGTTTCAACATTGTACATGACTATTTATTTATTTATTTAAACACATATATATTGGTACAAAAGGGCACCAGGTACATATGCGCCACACTATTTGTGTGTGTGGGCTGTGATACTGCCCGGGTGCCCAAACCGAAGCAGGTGGTTTTCTTAGGGGGCCACACCCCGAGCCTTTGACCAAAAGGTCTGATCCACAAGGCAGTGGAGCATCGTGAGGAGATGCAGTCCCATGGTAGCCGGTGACCAATGACAGGTTCGTCTGCCATTCGTTCCATCAGCATACTGGAGCCCATGTGCACCATTGGTTTGGAATCAGGGTTTTCCAACTCCCCTAGGTGGACTTTGCGTGTCCACCAACCCGGTTAAAGCGCCGGACATTCGCTTTTCGTCCTCTCACTTTCTTAAATAGCACTCCTGCCACGAGAAGGCAGTGAGTAGGACTTCCCTGGCAGAGGCTATATATTCGCTGGCCATGTGAGAGCATTTCGAGAGGGAGAGTAGACTCTCCACACTCTCGGCCGTACCAGGGCATTTGGGGGCTGTATATGACTGACTGATGTATTCTCTATTGAGGAGTTTTGTGTTAAAACTAATCATCTTTCTGAAAAATTGATATTTTTATTATTTATTTTTTTGGGTATCTATTATCATTATTATTAATTTGCATCATCAGGAATCACTTAGTGATCGAATTAGTGAATTTGGATTTCGAATTCATGGTTCATCTGAAGGTGAAGAAGATTTAGAAGATGAGGATGATGATCCAGATGATACTGGGATTCGAGATGAGTAAGTTTTGTTTACATTTTTTTTCTTATAACCATTTATTATTATTATTTGTGTGCATGTATGTGTCTGTTTACCTGCTGTGCGATTAATTTGCATCTTTAAAATTGATGTTATGCAACAATTATTGGAATAAAGTGTTCTTTGTTACATGGATTTGTAGTATTTTCTAAATTATTTATGTTATGTTCTCCCAAATCCTAATCTTCTGAATTTTTCATGTCCGTCTAGCAACCAGAGGACGGGTTTTTCTGTGCAGCAGTTCGTTCCATCCTACTTTATGGCAGTGAAACATGACCGGTAAATGTAGAGAATATTCGTAGGCTGCTAGTATTTGATCATAGATGTCTTCGAAGCATTGCTCGTATATCCTGGAACCACCGAGCAAGTAATGCAGTTATTAGGAAACCGGTACTAGGTAAGGATGGCAAATCGATTGATGAACTAGTGAAACTTGATCAGTTGAGATGGCTGGGACACATGTATTACGTATGCCCAACCACCGACTGCCATGACGTGCAATGTTTTATGGTGTAGGAGTAGGTTGAAAGAAAGCTTGGGGCGGCCAGACCGAAACGTAGCACAAATCCATGAAGTCATTAACAAGTGGACTGAGCCATGTTAGTAGGTGTAGACTACCTGGTTGAGATTCGCGAGATGATAACAATGGATGGTTAGAGACCTTGAGTGACATGGCTCAAAATCGTTTTTAATGGCGAAGTTGCATCCACTCTTTGTGTTCTACCAAATTCTAATCTTCTGAATTATTCATGTCACTTTCTTTTTTTTCTCTTTCCAAATTTATTTCACTGGATTATACTCCTTGAATAACATCTTCAAACCGTGTTTCACATAATGCTTATACTCTTACTACTTCTACCACTATGGGATTTGAATCGATAATTGTACCTTGGTGGTAATGTTTTATGGCAACTCGAACTAATGTACGTACGTACGAAGTTCTACGTTGTGACTAACCGACTTACTGACTATAATGAAAGAGAAGTTCTATTCATCTGTAAAGTCATTGTTATATTGTAAACTATATCAAAATATTAAACGGATTATTGTACTTAAGTATAAAACAATATTGATGCGACTAGGATTTTCTAAATCTATAAATTCGCTTTGAATGCTATTTATAAAAGTTAGTGTACTTTGAGTGTTAGAATATCTATTATGATTGTTAACCATACATATGACATTAAAGGAAGTATATCATAAGTAATTTACAAAATATTGATCTCTAGTTATTCATTGTATGTATTCGTAATGATTTTGAGAGGTCGGAGTTCACATGATGAATGCATTCATTACTTGGAAACATCGAATGGCATAGTTCAGGATCGTTCGTAATAATTTCTTTCTACATTTCTTCAGTCCACTACATCTTTTCCAATCATATTTCCAATGTTCTTCCGTATTCATTAATTATTACTAATACTTTACTTTGATCTCCTTTTTTAACTCATCTTGTTAATTTCATCTTGTCGTACGTATGTGGTATGACGACTTGGGCCAATGATCATCCATATCAGATTGTACTTTGATAGTGACGACTGACTGTTGTAGAAAGCTTTCCGCTAAACACAAAACACCAGTGTAACTATTTTTCGTCCTATCTTTATTGTTTTACTAACATACCCTCTCTGTCAAATTTTTTTTTTCATTTTAGAATAATTATACCAAATGATTTATCTAACATAAATATGATGAATTTATGTCAGTTACCATCGAATACAAATAATGGTGAAGGTATCTCACCAACATTAAGTCGTATGAATAATATGAATACAAATAGTAATACTAATGACATTCCTTCTACACAAAAAGTATCATTATCAACAATGGAAGGTACGAATCCAAATATTCAAATGACAAATGGTAATCAAAATGGTGATCATATGGATTTATTAAATAAAAGTACAAAATTGAATTCTACAATGATAAATACTACTACTAATAATAATGTTAATAATCATAATAACAGATTAATCAGTCAAAAAGAATTAGATTTAAATGATATTGTTAATTCTACTGGTCATGAATTTTATCCAGAGAAATCCGGAGAGTAAGTGTTTATTGAATTTTTCTGGTTAGCGGTTTTTTAGCGAGTTGGTTTTCTACGGGATGGAGTCGCTAGTCCCATGCCCAACCCTCCTCCTTTACCCAGTCTTGGGACTGGCAGTAGCTCCCGGAGGAGCTACAAGCGGAGTGTTTATTAGATTTATTTATTTATTTATTTGAACACATAAATATTGTTACAAGAGGGCACCAGATATATATACGTGGCACAAATCTCATTTGATTTGTGTGAGGGATGTGATGATACTGTCCGGGTGCCCAAACTGAAGCAGATGGTTCTCTTAGGGGGCCATACCCAGAGACTTTGACATAAAGATCTGATTTACAAGGCAGTGGAGCATCGTAAAGAGACGCGGTCCCATGGTAGTCGGTGACTAACGATTGATTCATACACCATTTTTCCCTCAGGGTGGTGGGGCCCATTGGTTTTGAATGAGGGTGTTGCAACTTCCCTAGGTAGACTTTCCGTGTCCACCAACCCGGTCAAAGCGCCAGACATTCGCTTTTCTTTCTCCTAATTTCGTAAATAACACCTCCGCCACGAGAATGCAGTGAGTAGGACTTCCATAGCTGTAGCTGTATACGCCTGGCCATATGAGAGCATTTCGAGAGGGAGAGGTGACTCCCCACTCTCGGCCGTACCAGGGCATTTGGGGGCTATTGGGTTGATTGTATGGTTCGAATGGTAATTAATAAGGAAACCTAAGATGTATAGTTTTTATTCGATGTTAAGAGTCATCATTTGGGTTTTACTCGTCACTCTATTACTTCGTCCTTTCAATGATTTTATCAATTCCTTTAAACAATATATTGTTATCCGTTTGATTACTGTGTTATAATAGTGTAGTGAACGAGAACACAGGCGGGGGAAACCATATGTATTTGAACACAAAAGTACAGAATAGAGCGAAAAATGTTTCCTTTCTATCAGACTTCTTCCTCTAACATATATTACATCAAAATGCAACATCACCACGGTAATCTGCACAAGGTTCAGTAGTCATTTGATTATCATAATCATAAATATAGGAACATTTGTTGTAGCTGCTCCATTAGAACGTATTCTCTAAAATCCGCTGTAAACCGATTGTACATGAGTATTGGGTACTGAAATAGGCACCGTGACCTTCAAGTCGCTCAAACGCTTCTGATTGACTCATCCATAAATTATAGTCTCGCACAATTCACTTTGTTTATTGTGAACTTATGAAGAAATCATTTTATAATGTGGTTCATGGAATCATCAGGGAATTTATGATTTCTTCAGTTAGGTACAACTTAGGACCAGGCACGCATATGCATCGATCCAAGTTGCCATACCTCGTTAGCACAACAAGATGAACGCCAAATTCGTAGAAGTAATTAATTTAGTGGTGGTAGTATATAATGAAAGGTTGTATATAAAGATATAGTATAGGAAGGAAGAAAGTTATGAAGCAATTTTAATCTTAAGGTTTAAGGGAAGATAAAGAGTGTATACACCTATACCATTGTGATCGATTCTGAACCATGTCAGCCAGCGTCTCCAACCATTGGTTACGATAGTCACGATGACCGCAACCAAGTAGTCTAGATCTACTAACATGGTTCACACTAGAAGTTAGTGACTTCGAGAACTGGTGCCACATTTTAGTTTGACCGCCCCTAACTTTCTTCCAACCATCACCAATTCTAGTCAGCATAGCGCGTCATGGTAATCGGTGTTCAGGCAACTATCTCAGTCGATGATTTCTTCATATCGATATAGATCTATATGAATTTAACTATAAGTCTTCAACGAACTTTTTAATAAAGATTCTGTAGATGATTATGAATTCTCAAAAACAAAACCCAACTACGAGAAGAATTCAGAAAACAATCTTTAATTGAATTTATATTTGAAATTATATAAATAAGATTATATAACTATATTTCTTCAATATTAAGTTCGAATAACAGATAATAAGCCTTGATAAACTTCTTAAATGCACAAAACTGTTACGAAATACATTTGTAAATCTAAGTTATGCTTGAATTCACCTGGTATTGTTTGCTTGAATCTTCTCATTGACTTGAATGTTTGTGAATTAAGGCTATATCGAAGCAATACGCACAGCATGCACATATTCCAATAAGAGACTGATCAATTGCTGTCCTAAACATCGATGGGGAGATTTAAACAAACAATTTCAAGTGAATTCAAACTTCACCCCATTGCACAAGCAAGTGGTTATCAGGACTCAGTAGCTGAGTAGATAACGCGATGGCGTATGGAGCGAAAGGTACTAGGTTTGAGTCCCAGAGTGAACATCATCTCTGGGTTGCAAATATATACGGTTAACGAGTCCCAAATAGGACGAAATTCTTGTCCTGGATACCACTGCTAGCCACTATCCATCTTTGCTTATTAAATTATGCTTAGTCACAAACAATGTACCGGATACACTAATTAAAACTTAACTTCTTCCTTTAGATTTTACAATGATTTCTCTTGGTTACTTTTTTCTGCTCATTTGTTGTTTATAGAGGTAGTCCAATTGTTATATACTCGTTTTTGTATGTATTTATTGTTTTTTCATTGTCATATTCATTAGATTTTATGCTCCAAATGTTCATAGTCTCTGAATTCTTTATCTATAGACTGACCTTCTTTTTGTATATATGTATTTATGAATGTATTTCCACTCATCTTCGTGGACTGATGCAAACTCTTAAGCATTTCTTTCTATGATGTCATTAAGAAAAAAATTTTTTGGTGTATTATTTCCTGTTACATGAATTTGTTGTGTAAATCACTTGGTTAGATGTTTTACTTCGGGTGTTTTCAATGAATATCTTATTTTTTATTTAGACACATAAACATTGATACATGGATGTATCAAATAGATATGTGCCATACTTCTTTATTCGATTCGTGTGAGGGTTGGGATATTGTCCGGGTAAACGATCCGAAGTAGCTGGTTTCCTTAGGAAACCACTCCTCAAGCCTTTGGCCCGAAAGTCTTATCCACAAGACACTAGAGCTATGTTAGGATATGCAATCCTGTGGTAGCCGGTGGCCAACAATAGGTTCGTATGGTTTTTGTTCCTTTATGATGTTTGAGCCCATATATACCACTAATTTTGATTGGGGGTTTTTCAACTCTTCTGGGTGGATTCTCCATATCGAAAACCGGGTAAAGCTCCGGACATTCACTTTTCGTGCTTTCAACCTTGTAGACAACATCAGTACCACGAGAATGTATTGGTTAGGACTTCCCTGACAGTAGTTGTTTACTCGTGGCCATGTGAGAGGATTCAGAGAGAGAGAGAGAGTTGATTCTTCCCAACCTCGGCTGTACTAGGGCAACAAAGTTTATACCAGTTGTCATTTGATGTACGCTGAAACAATCTTTCATGTCATCAGTATTAACTCCTGGAATGTAGATCTGTAAAAAGCTAAAATTTCACTATTGCAAAATAATTATAATAAATGTGTTAGTACAGTTTCATTGACAATGAAAGAAAAAATTTTCTTAATAGATTTTGAAATTCTAGATTGTTTTGATTAGTCTATGTTAGTATATGTACATCTCTGGGTAGATTATCTCGATATAAAAAGAGATTCGTTATAAAGTGGTTACATCACAACTATTCGCATAAGATGCATCTATATATACCAACATTAACTGATCCAAATTCAGTCTTTATTATCAATAATGAGATAATTCAAACCCTTACTAGTTGTACTACATATATACCCGTCAACATAACAGTATCATGTCAGTCAGTCAGTTACAACGTAGAACTTCGTACGTACGTGCATCAGTTAGAGTTGCCATACCACATTAGCACAGAGATGAAGTTGTCGATTCAAATCCCATAGTGGTAGAAGCAGTAAGAGTATAAGACAGTATCATTTCAGTGAGTCTAGTGTCTTCCATAAACAAATCGACATTAATTTCACGTTTAAATCATTGATGGTCTTATCATTCAATCAAATATGTTATAATCACTGATAAATCACTTGAAGAATCATTTAAGGATTATAAATGTCTGGTTCTTTTATAGTACAACATTCATCAATCAATTTAATGCAAAATATCTTAATCATATCACATTGTAAACTGTTGGGGATGTTAAATTCCCAGAACTTACTTGGTAAATGGCTTAATTTTATTTTGAAAATTTGAATTTCTTTTTTTTCGCGCCATAAGCTCTCTTTTCAACTTCGAGTCGAATTTTTCACTTGTAAAATATCTTGAGCGCTATTGGTCTGTTGTATCTTTGAGTGTGTTATTTTTTAATGCTGACCAAGGACAATTTATTGCTGTATATATACGTTTGATTTTTCCCCTTACGATTGCTGTGCTTCTGGCTGCTACGGAATATATTTTCTCCGTTTCCAACTTGGACTTCTTACTCTAGTTAGCTGGGTCTGGGAAGCCCCAGGATAGCTAGCTTATAGGTCTCTGGTCACAAGTCTTTGTTCCGTTCGCTGACTAGTGAATTCGAAACGCTTCAGATATGACATAAACCTAACATATTAATGACTCAGATAATTATTTCATAAGTGTTTCTTTTTTTTTTCTTCTTTAACTCATTGCTTATCAGCCTACCAATGGTGATTTATTATACTAAAGTAAGAGTATATTAACTTGATATTTAAATGTATGTAGTTTTGATAGCCTTATTAGGTTAGTTTCTGACAAAATCTTGGCATAAATCTAGACAACTCACTTAATTTTTCACCAAATTAGGTTCCTCACATTTGTTGACACTACTAATGGAGTATTGTTAAAGTTATCTATAAAGTGTTATCGTTTGTTTGTATAATTTTATCGCTTTGTTGTAATATAATGTTAGAATTTGATTCGATAGACTTATGTACCATCTTCTTATGTTTTCTTATAACTTTGATTTAATAATCCAATTAGACTTTACACGTGATTATCTTATTTAAGATAGGCCCCCAAATGTCCTGGTACGGCTGAAAGTGGGGAGAGTACGCTCTCCCTCTCCAAATGC